CCGGTCCCGGTCCGGTGCGGGCACGACACTGAGGGTTGCGATCCGTTGCCGGACACGAAAAAAGACAAAAAGGAAAAAATAAATAAATAAATACCATTTACAATGACATTAAAACCATCAAATACCAAGGGCCAGCCCGTGGCTCACTTGGGAGAGTGTGGTGCTGATAACACCAAGGCCACGGGTTCGGATCCCTATATAGTGATGGCCAGTTAGCTCACTTGGGAGATCCCCTTGCTGATCATCTTTAAAAAAAAAAAAAAAACATCAAATACCAGCGGGCCAGTTAACTCAGTTGGTTAGGGCACAGCCTTGTAACACCAAGGTCAAGGGTTTGGATACCTGTACTGGCCAGCTGTCAATAAATAAATAAAAAAAGAAGTTCTTCCTTTAAAAAAAAAAAAAAAACACTAAATACCTAGTAATAAATTTAAAGGAAGATGTGCAAGATTTCTAAAATGAAAACTAAAAAACATTATTGAAAGAACTTTTAAAGGATCTAAATAAATGAAGGAACTTTTCAAAGTAATGAGATCAGGGCTGGCCAGTTATTCAGTTGGTTGGAGCATGGTGTTATAACACCAAGGTCAAGGGTTCAGATCCCCATACCAGCCAGCCACCAAAAAAAAAAACCAAAGTAATCAATAACGTTAAGATGTCATTTCTCCCCAAATTGATCTGTAGTGTCAATGCAATTCCAGGAGACATTTTTGTAGAAATTGACAAGTTTATTTTAAAATTTATATGAAAGTGCCATAGGACCTAGAATAGACAAAATAATCTTGTGGTAGAAGAAGAGAATTGACGTGCATGTATTACCTGAGTTTAAGACTATCAACCTACAGTATGGTATTGACATAAGGATAGGTAGACTAATGGAACAGAACAGAAAGTTCAGAAAGAGACCTGCACATTTAGTTCAATTTTCTGCAAAGACACTGGTGAAATTATTGGGAAAGGAAAGCCTTTCCTTAACTGACATTAGAATAATTGGATTTCCATATGGAGAAAAAAATGAACCTCAACCCTTACTTCTTACCATATTCAAAAATTAATTTGAGATGAGTGATAGGTCTAAATGTAAAACTGTAAAACTTCTAGAAAGAAACAAGAATATCCTCAAGAGTTTGGGGTGAGCAAAGATTTTTTAGACAGCACAGAAAAGGCACAAACCATAAAAAGAAAAATAGATCAATTGGATTTCATCAAAATTAAAATGCTCAGCATATCAACAGTCACCATCCAGAAAATGAGTAGGCAAACAACTGACTGGAGAAGATATTTACAAAACATATATCTGACAAAGCACTGATACCAGAATATATAAAGACAATAACAAAAAGACAAAATATGGGCAAAAGATGTGAATAGGCCTCTTACAAAAGAGGAATTACCAATGGCCAATAAACATGTGAAAATATTCATCATCACTCGTAATCAGGAAACTACAAATAAAAACTACCATGAAATACTGCTACAAACCAACCAGAATGCCGAAAATTTAAAAGAATGACAACGCCAAATGTTGGTGAGGTTGTGGAGCAACTGGAACACTTACATATTATTGATGGAAAAGTGAAGTTCACTGTTCTTTTAAAATTAAATACAAAATTACCCTTTAAGCCAGCATTAATACCATTACTAGATACTTAATACCATTACTAGGTGTTAAGGACTGAATGTTTATGTCCTCCCAAAATTCATATGTTGAAACCC